GGGGATGATGGTTTTGGACATATTCAAAGAAAGCGCGTTCAGATCTGATCTGGGGGACCCTAGTTCATCTATCTAGGACAGCACTATGGGAAGACAATGGTTGCGACCTTGACGACCTGGTGGTATGGGAGATGTAGCAACTAGATTGACTCCTGTCGTTCATCAGCATAGTTCTATGTATGCTGTAGCGTAGGAAATCATCCCATACATGGAACAAACCTTTCCCTATCTCATCGTCCCGAATCGACCTGCTTGGCTCTCTAGTGGAATCATTCGACTGTATACCCAAGTACGTGGTGGCAGACTAGTGCTGTGAATCATCGTAAGCGATTTGTCCTTTTCTTGCATCCCTCCAGCCTCGGTACTACGGAACCTCACTATCATCTACCGCCCATTCAAGCCAACTACCTGATTTCATCTCAACGACGGCTGTAGTGCACATGACCCATTCCGATGTCACAAATACGAGAAGCGGCGCCGGTACTGATACCATGTCTCTCGATCCTCGGTCTCCACTGTCCCCACATCAATGTGAGGATGGAATTTTCCTTGGGCAATATCTTGAGACCATGTGTCATGAAGAAAAATCTTGCTGCCATGAAAAGGCCTCCGTCATCCTCATCTTCACAGATCGAGCAATCAAGGTGAGTGAGCTCTCCCAGAGCGTTTTCCATGATGACCAGTCGTCTGACGTATTCGTCATCTCTGGTCAGATCCTGTGGTATCGGTTCCATGTGCTCTTCTGCTTGCATAGCATCCTCGTATAGCTGCCGTAGTCTTCTGACTTCGCCGTGTCCTTCACCCTGCCAGAGGCGTCGCAGGCGGCGTGGGCCCCAGAACGCTGGACCTTCGACATGGAACACTGTGGAGTTGACTTTGGTGAGATATTGCTTTGCCCATCCTATAGCCCCGAGTGCACATGACAAGTGCAAGGCCTCCATATCGTCATCCTCTTGGCAGTCTTCTTCGTAGCTGCCGGAGTAGGGATCGAAGGGATCGAAGCGTAGTCTCTGCCAGTGAGTAACCCAGCGATCTCTTATAAGAATTGTAGGCCTGTGCTTGAACGAAGTGAATTGTGTGAATTTTGCCAAAGTCTCATCCAGTCTCCTGATGATGCACTCCTCTCCCATCGGAGATGACCCAATTACAGACTGGACTTGCTCACTGTAAGTGCAGCCCACCCTACGAAAACACAATGTTCTTGATAAGGATTGCACATTGTCGTTTGCTGCCACGCGATTCGTCTCGTATCGATCGTAGAGGCTTCTCCTTTCGACGTCTGTGCATTGTGACCAGTCGTGATATGACATGGTATCGGCATGCGTGTCTTCTTCGTCATCACCGTCGTTAAACGGGAAGAGAGTGATATTGGGATCATCTGGCAGGCTGATAGCTCGCTCCCAGTTGTCATGATCGGAGTACTGTCGCATTCTCCTTCGCCTCTGAAGAATCAAAGTTCGTGCATGCCTGGCTAAGTATTCGGTTGAAGCGACGTTGACCAGGTTTCCAATACTGGCCTCGCTGATATCGAAGGTAACTGTTTCGAAGCAAAGAGGCGTGGCGATGTCTCTGCACTCACGGTCTGCAAACTGGAACTGCTTCATGTCTCGTAAATCTAGGTACTAGAACACCATGACCCAAGTCTCGGTTGGAAGCCAGGACGAGTGCCCTTTTGTGGGGGGTATAGTTCATTGTATCTGCTTCCGTTGTCTTCTACTGGGCTGAATGTGTCGGTTTCTCGTTTTGACGAGCATGTGAACCGCTACGGATGGACTGCCCATTCGACTTGTTGTTTGAAAGCAGTCGGTGATCGTTTTCGCCTTCAAAGGGCTGCGGGTAGATCGCGGTTGTCAGAAGTGCATGAGCTCGTCGCCTGTGATGGAGGTAAGATCGATAGGGTGTGTGCGTGGGCAGCATGGCTTTTCCGACAATGCCAAATGCAAACGGCCTGCCTGTTGCGGACCCGTCGTGGAGCGGGGCAAAGATGCTGGCGGAGGCTGGCGTCAACTACGCAATGCCCGCCCATGATCCGAGCTGTTGTGGCTATCCGTGTACATCGAGCAAGACCGCCGCACTGCCGCGAACCAGGTTGGAGCATGCATGCGCAACTGTGAGCCCATGTATGGAACTGCCCGT